AACACATGCTAAGGTGAAGCTACCGCACACGCTATTTGTTGTCTGTTCTTCTTCTCTGTCTTCCGGTTGTTGCCTGTTTTGAATGACAAATACACACTACCGCCGCCTGCTGGTAAGGAAAGTTATTGCCACTCACGCATGCGCAGTTCGTACGTGCTCGGCGAGTAAAGTAACGAGTTACTTTATGTAGATAGTAACGAAGTAGTGTAATATATTACTTTTTAAAAAAAAGTAATATGTAATATATTTTAAAAAATTAGTAACGACCCCATCTCTGGAGTTGGCGTTCTCTACTCTGATTTACATGAAGAACAACAGGAGGTCACGGCTCTCTGTTGAGCAGGACTTGCGAGTGGCCCTCTCCTCAGTGCCACCAAGGATTACAAAATTCTGTGCGCCCCAACAGGCACATGTATCTCACTAATTTGTAAGTCGGCAAAAATATTTACAATAGCACATGTTTCAATGCTGAGTGCTGAAATGTTACATTTATAATTTGTAGTTCAGGACCATGGACAATGCAGCTTCCTTGCATTGACAGTTCTCTGTGCTGAATTTCTGCTGAGTTTCAATTGCCTCATTTTTAATGTTGTGAGCTGTCTGGTTTAAATGAGTGTGTTGCTGCTTTGATGAAGCCTAATTTGGTAAAGTTTCAAATTAATTTCTGAAATATTTAGTTAATAAATATTTCATGAGTAATATAGTTGTCTTTGTCACATTTTATTTGGCATTAGTAAATAATTAAGCACATTTACAGATATTTTACATGATATGAGTGATAACACGTGTTATAAGGGCTGTTTTGCACAACAGGTGTGCCTTGAGATTTTTACTTGTCCTTTGGTGTGCCTTGGGCACAACAAGTTTGGGAACCACTGAGATAGAGAACTGTAGCGGACCGTTACCGTTCTCGTGTGGCTCCAGCCTTAAGCTGCTCTCTGCTCTGCCTTTTTCTACTCTCCACAAAAAGCAAGTGGAGCAACAGCGCGATATGCAGATGTATTTTCATCTTTTCTTTGCTGAAGGGACATTTCTTGAGTGATTCTGGTAGAAAGCTTAATTCCAGATACACATCCCATGTTGCTTTGAAACTGGTGTTTGTATAGCAACTGTTAGATAATGTCAATCACTCAAAATGCTTTATTTACCCCAGGTGGAATTACAGCTCTGGAAAAAAAATCCCCACTGCAGCATTATCAGTTTCTTTGGTTTTTACTAGTTATAAGTATGTATATTTTTATTCTATAAACTACTGACAACATTTCTTTGTGGTGGAATTCAACAGACACTGGAATGGAATGGCTGCCATACATGTAGAGATTGAGATTTAAGAAGAATTTGGAGTGGTCTTTTCTCCAGAGCTGTATGTTTTTTGAAAGTTGCACCATAAGAATAAACATGAATTGGAGATCATGAAAACTGTTTCCAATGAATGAATTAAATGATTTTTGTCCACTTTGTTTATGGATGATATTAATTAAAAACAAAATCAGTATAAACTGAGGAGTGATTCCTGGGAGTTTAATGTGTTTTGTGTCTTCACTGTTAAACTGCAAATATGTTAATTTGCATCCGATCATTGCATGCGCTGCCTCGTCCAATCAGTGAGCGATACACAGTGAGGGGGCGGGGCGAGTGGCTGAGGATTTCACTGAAGGATGGTCTGGTGTTTCCTCGCTCCTCGGGCACAAATAAGCACCATGGGAGGCTCCTTAAAATGGCGCACAAAAAGCTACTCCCGGTGAGAGAGAGGACCGAAGAGCAAGGAAATGACAAATAAGAGACTTGAGACGCAGCACCTTTCTTCTGCTGCTAGCACTAGATATTTCAATGAAGTCCTTCTGCACCTCGTTATACCAACGCAGCACACCTGGGCAAAGCTACTTAAGGGAGAAACAGGGGGTTACGTATTGTAACACTAGTTATACAAACACAGGCTCCGCCCTCTACTGGACTCTATGGGTACTACCTCTCAACCATACTATGCAAGCATTCACCTACTGAGATACAGGGGTGCACATAACTTTTTTGCCCTGGTTCTCAAAGGAGCACCTGGAGATGTTGCTTGGTGCTCATCCTTAAAATGAAATAAACCGTAACTTTTGAGGGGGGCTTGACTTTATTTGCCAGACACACGGCACTGAACACACATGCAGAGGTGAACACAGAACACACATGCAGAGGTGAACACAAGACAACATTAGCACGACCAGTAATCCTACAAGCTGTCATCACTCCCCTCCTGACTGTTCTCCTCACTGTCTTCCTCTCTGTCAGACATGGTAGCTGATGATTTAGGCCTACTTCTTTCTCTCTGGTTGAGTCTGCGATTAGCTGCTTGCATCCACAAGTCAACAGCTGGTTTTGGGTCGAAAGTCTCTGTTGTCATCTTAGACAAGTGGATGTAATCAAATAAGTATGTGAACATAACCAATAACCTACCATAGCCAATAACAAATTAAACTTATTTTATTTGTGTTGTTCATTCATATCTTATTTTACCTTAACATTTATTTATTTATGCATTTTTTTTTATCTCTCCAGTTTTAAAGGATATTATTGGTTACTGTCCTATAGTATGCATTGGAATGATTTCAAACCTGTTTATCCCAATAATTATAAAGGAGTGCCTTGGAAATATGTGTTTACATAAATTGTGACCAAACCGTTTGAACTTAGACTAAAGTGAACTATCTAAACACTCAGAGTCCTTACCTCACTGAGCTGTAGTATCAGCCTCTCAGTCTGACTGGAGAGGACTCTCCCTCCACATCATTGTAGAAACATCTTCTTCTTATATCCGTTAGAGCAGCTAGCACCAGATTCTAATAACAACAGCGCCGGTACCGGGCGGTGCGCCCTTCTCTCTCCCTCGCTCACTCACATTTTGGCTGTGAGCTGCGGGCGCCAGATAAGCCAACATCCCCCATTTTCATCACTTACAGCGCCCATCGTACAGGGCAAATGAAATGTGTAACCGGGGTGAAAAGGGTGTTACATTTACTTAATTATGAATATTGTTACATCAAGGCCGAAAATTAGGATGAGCCCCAACGGTCAAAAATGTTTTTTTCCCCTCCCAGAGCTGTCAGCGCAGCGCCTCCACAGATCTGGCGCTCTAGGCGAACATCTATAACGCCAGTGCTACGGGCCGACCCTGAGTTCATATGCAACTCGCAAATATCTTTCTCTCTCTCTCCTCTCTCCTCTCTCCTCTCTTCTCCCTTCTCTCTCTTCTCTCTCTCTCTCCCTCTCTCTCTCTCTCAATTTTGGTACGCAAATGCGCCTTTTTTCAAATGACCCGGTGCTCTTTTTTTGGCGGAGGTGCACATGCGCACCGGTTATGTGCAGCTCTGTCTATAAACGTAGACAAACGTAGCTACCTGAATGCGCGCGCAAGCCCACCGTATATAAGGCGGCCACGCCTCCTGACTGTCATCCTACACCCTCTTCAGCGAGTGAGCAACTGAAGCAGAGAAAGTAAAGCATTTATAGATATCTCAGTAGGTGAATGCTCGCATAGTATGGTTGAGAGGTAGTACCCATAGAGTCCAGTAGAGGGCGGAGCCTGTGTAATGCGGCTTTCACACCAGCGCTTTTCCCTTTCTAGCTCCGAGCGGGAGCTTTTCTGGTTCAGCTCCGGTTTCCCTTTTCTGCTCCCGCTCTATTCACACCGCCCAGAGCTGCCGCTGCTGCGTCATGACGTCACCGTTTACGTGCCTGCTTCATAAAATCCAAACCGCGCGGAAATCCCTCACATCGACAACAACAACAATGGCCGATTGTATTGAAGCGCTGTTCGCTTTGGTTATCCTCTTACGAAACGAAATGGAAGGCATCGGACGACTTTACAAGGGACAACTTTACTTGGAACTTTACAAACATCACATGCGAAATGCAAGACTACTTTGTGGTCTTCAGCATCTACTTCAACGAAATGCCCATGCCCCCGCCTCGACGTAAGAGAGACGTAAGCGACGCCGCCTCTTAGCTCCGAAGCTCTTGCCTCTCGACCGACAATTTTTTAGAGCTGGAAGTGAACCGGATTCCGGAGCTAAGAGGCGGCGCCTGTGCGGTGTGAACAGGAAAAAACGGTACTTTCCAGGCTCCAGCTCCGAGCCGGAGCTGAAAACGCGTTGGTGTGAAAGGGGCATAAGATATAACCCGTCAGTGATACAGTGTTTCAAAACCTCTACCTTAAGGAAATAAATTCACCGTCTTTCACCCTGCTTGTAAGCAAGTTGCACATTCAAGGCTATGATTCCCATAATTTCCCTTAAATCTGTGCACAATGTTTTTATACAGCTGCAACATTCATTTGAATTCATAGGCCTCAGGAGCAGTGTGTAGGATTTAGTCGCATATAGTGGTCAGGTGGTAGATTGCAACTAATTGAACACCCTCTGCTCAGCTGCCTTTACAAACAGGCAGAGAACAAGTTACAACGATGGCTATAATGTAACATGAAAATAAGCCATAATTATGTTTTTTACGTCCTGGGCTACTGATGAAACGTAGTTGTGCAACATTTTTGTGAATAAATCAACTTGCCAGGAGGATCACTTGAATAGAGGTATTCTCCAATCTCAAGTCATTTAACTGAGCCAAGACCGGCAGTTACATGTAAGCTGCTGTGACGGAGCAGATAGGTGGTAATACACTAATTTAAACATAATTATGAATATAATGTAAAAATACTCCCAATAAATTCCTTTTAATCCTAACCCAGTGTAGTACAATAACATGTGAATAGTTACATTCAGTGTAACAAACATTTTCAATGCCTATCTTTAAACATAAAACCTTTGAAAATCTGTTTTTTTAGGATTATTTTGTGGACTCAGGACTGTGTTCTCTTGTCTCTACAGTGTAGGGCAGTGACTACTCCGGCCTCTACTCCACACAACATAGTGCGTTGCAGACAGGAAGCGTACGGCTCGATATGAAAGGCTGCAGATTGAAGAGTGAGAGACATTTGGAGCCGTCTCTCCTCCCTGTCTCTTTGCCCTCAGCTCCGCCTTTTGTAAGCGTCCATTGTTGGCGGAGGATTTGAGCCGTGTGTTGTGGCTGAGGTAGGCCTTTTAGATGTGCACAGTGCAGCGCTGCACTTTAGAAATTCTCTCCGCTGGGGCTTTTCTGATGTAAGTGTTTTTTTTCTGCTTCAGGTGGGCTACGCTTGATGGGTCAGCTATCAGCCCTGAGCAGCCCTGCACATAAGGCCTTTGATTCAGCACTCCAAGACACACACAGACTCGCGCTTAATCATTCACACATACATGAATATAAACATGTACACCTTGCAGCGCTCAGTGCAGGTAAGCACGTCTTTCTACTCGCTCTCCTTTTAATCGCCCTTGAGTTTTTACTTTACTTGTTTTGTAAGCCTCCTCCTCAGCCTTTACACAAGCTTGCTATTGGATATAAATCAGTTTTATTAATCTAACGACCAGAGATGGGAAGTAGTGGAGTACAAATACTACGTAACTGTACTTAATTACATTTTTCTGGTATCAGTACTTTACTCCACTACTTCTTTTTCTGACAACTTTTTACTTTTACTTCTTACATTTTTAACATAAATACCTGTACTTTCTACTTCTTACATTTTCAAAATAGGTTTGTTACTTTAGTTTTAATCTGCGTTTGGTGACGTGATCATTAATATTTAGAGTCATTGCCTATTGATTTTAAAGGTCCCCTATTATACTGTTTTTCATCAATATATTATAGGTCTCAGATATACACAAAACATGTCTCTGAAGTGTTTGGCTCCAAACACCAAACAGATCATTGCAGCATCCCATAATCCCCTCTGTTTCAGCCCTGTTTCCAAAGTGCTGATTCTCTGTCTGTTACTTTAGATGAAAATAAGGAGCCCCTCCCCACGCCCCTCTGAGAGAGATTTGGTTACAAAGAACACAATGGTGCTCTAAGAGGAGATTCAGGTGATAAGGGGGGGGGGGGGGGTTCATTAGCTAACAATGACATTGTTGTTCTATTAATATAAAGGGAGGTCAGGTACTCTTTAAAACAGTTGGTAGTTGTACTTTTTACTTAAATACATTTCGAAGCCCATACTTCTTTACTTTTACTTGAGTAAAGAAATGTAGCCAGTACTTCTACTTTTACCAGAGTATTTTTAAACAAGAGTATCTGTACTTCTACTTGAGTAAAGGATGTGTTTACTTTTGCCATCTCTGGTAAAGACACCTACATGGACCCAAACTAAACTGGATGTCTTTCTCTCTGGTGACAGAATGATCATTACTGACAGGAAAGTTAATTGTTAGTGGAACAAAAGGAAAACAATCAATGGAACGCTACAAAGCCCAGAGCAGGCAGGGCAGGACTGAACGGATTGTAGTGTTACAGTTTGAGTTTTACAATGTGCAGGCTCCTTTCTGCTGCTCATTGTTTTATCGATTAAACCCACTCTTGTGTTTACATCGTATTGACAAAGAGAGGAGATATAGCAGCTCCGCTAACCTCACGGAAACACTGAGGACAATGGGAAAACAGAATTACAAATGAGACTTCTCTTTCTCCAAAGGCTGAAGCCCTGTTTTTTGCTGAATACTGTAAGTGCAAAGAGCTCATGGATCTGGAGTAAGGTCATGAACTCAGAGCATTTCGCTGATACAATTTGTAGGTATCATTATAATTAACTTTTGCCTATTGTGATGGGAATTTATTTGATCAACTGTGGATTAAGAATCAAACCATTCAGCTGTCGTTGTCGAGTTGTATTTCTTGCAAGAAAGTTTAGTCAGTCCTACAGAGAGCATACTGTCTGCAGAGTGAAAGACGAAGAATAGAGTTTGGGTTGCATATTTAAACACAGAGGAGAAAGGGAGGGGTCACACTTGGTGATAATGAAAAGAACATTCTGGAAGTTAGGGAGGCCATATGAGGATGTTCTCAGTCCAACAGAAGGTGAAGGTCATTCTGTTGGTGGTAACTAACAACACTGCAACAAATCTTCTTAATAAGAACATTTCCCAAGCTTAGTAAAGGAGTGAAAGCCAGCAAATAAAGATAAACATTAGCAAATAAAAATCACACAATGATATTAAGTATTAAGTATATGTAAGTGAGAATAATATGTTTCTGTTACACCCATTCCTCATGTTTACTGAATAGAGATTGAATACATTGTTGTCAACCTGTGCACAATTCTGAAAGACATCATGAGGTAAAAATAACACCTGAGCAAATATTCATTGTTTTTGTGTAGTCAGAATTTATCCAAACAATTAATCAAAAGGAGATTTTTGTCTGTTTTATATATTATTTTCTTGAATTGTATTCTGGTTGGTTCTTTTTGACAACATTTAATTTCCTCTATGCAGCAGGAGAGAGAATAATATGATAACTTAAAAACAATAAAAACAAATAATAAAATACTTTTTAAAATCATGGGTTATAACTTATGACATCATTTTGTAAAATAGATTTTCTAAAGAATCTCAGTTAAGTATCAAATAATATTGACAACATTTGTTTACGTTATGTGGTTAAAACATATTGAGTTAATCTGGAATATTACAAAAAGGATTATTTTAATTGATCATGGATATAGTTAGTCTCTGATTTGTTCCTTATCCATTTACTGGTAGTTACATGTTTGTATTATTTTTTCGTTTAAGATTTGACTATGTAATGTTATTATAAGATCACAAAATCTGTCTATTTTCACCAGAGACATAGAGAAATAGTTGTAAAGACAAGTATTCATGCTTGTTTCTCTTTGAATAAATCTTGTCCTTACCGTAGCTTCATAGTATTCTCAGAATGGTTCCTAGAAGAGCCCTGGAATTATCATTCCATCTCCATGTTTTTCAATTCTGCTTCATATTGATATCCTAAAGCCCAATTTCTGCATGCAGTTCCCTGGAGAAAAATACATATTTCATTTCTCTCTATGCAATTTATTTTCTTCAGCACCATTTCCAATAACAAACAGGCCCGGGAATGTAAATTCCATTCTGCTTTTGTTCATATTTAGAGTACACTGCAATGCGCATAAATATATTTTTCATTTACACCTTACTTGCTCATTGTTTCCTTTTTTTTGTTTGCGCAGTGCTTTTCATTCCTCTCATTCAGGCGTGTTGTATAAAACCAATTTTCTGACAGGCGTGCAGGAATGGTGTGATAATGAAACGGCAATAGGCGAGGTGAATGTTAAAACACCATAAGTGCAGACCCATGAATGGGGTGGATGTTGTTCCTTAGGAAAATGAGGATTTTATCCTGCTGGTGAGTAAAGTATGTTGAACTAGATCAGTGGTTCTCAAACTATTTCTGTCAGGCCCCCCCTTTGGAGAAAAAAAAAAGTCGGGTCCCCCCAACAGAAATAGTCAGGCCAGATATTTATTTTGGGGGTGCTGTGGGGTAGCTTGACGTTTCATAGAGGGTGCTCAAACATTTAGGGTTTCCCATTAATGTACCGGTCACTACAGTGGAAGATATTTTTTTCAATCTTGAAGTTAAAAGCATCAATCTGGTGCACTTTGAGAGCAAAATGAAGAGATCTATGGATACATCTCTCAACACCCAGATGAAACAGAACTGTAAACAGATTTACTTTTCTCTTTATGGATATTTTACAAATCACTCCCCTTTTAAACTTTATTCTTGTTTTACTGTCATATAGTATTTCATAGCTGTTTTTCATTTATTCTCTTATTTTTTTAAAACAATAATTATCATCACGAGTGTGCCTCGGAAATAATTGTTTACATTAACCGTGACCAAAACGTTTGAGACCCACTGAGATAACACTGAGAGAGTCCTTTAGTTCACTGAGTCTCTCAGTCTGACAGAAGAGGACTCTCCTCCACTTTGTTGTTGAAAAAACTCCTTATATCCGTTAGCGTAGCTCGCTAGCACCAGAAGCTAACAACAATGATCTCCGGTACCGGTGCGCTCTCTCTCTCTCGCACACAAAATGGCTCGTTCCACACACACACAGAGCCGAGCTTTAATGAAACACAGAGACCCAGACGTAATAGTACTGTACTGCATCATATTATTTTCGAATCAATAATTTTTCAAATTATGATTTTTTTATTTTTTTTTGTAATCTTTTTTTATTTATTTTTTTATAACCATTTTTCCTCCTGGTCTCTCGCGCCCCCCCTGGCATGCCTCTGCACCCCCCATTTTGAGAACCACTGAACTAGATGTACTTCTGTACATACTGTATATATATATATATATATATATATATATAAAGGAGAAGATGCGGAACCAAGCCCAAAGACTCCCCAACCAAACCACAGCTTTATTGTCACCAACTCAGACATCCGAGGAAGGAGCCCGACAGCACAGCCGGGGTAGCCAGACTCTACGGCTTCCTGAAGAAGATGACAGCACATGCGTGGAGCCTGTCGTCGCGGTGGGCCATGCTGGTGGTGGGGATTCCTGCTATGTCCCTGTCGATGTGGAAGGGGTGCCCTGCATTGCACTGGTGGACACAGGCTCTACAGTAACCCTGGTGAGAGCAGATGTGTTGCCCAGTGGGACTATGTTAGAGCCGACAGCGGTGCGTCTACGCACAGTCACAGGAGAGCTGGCGCCTATGAAAGGAAGAGGCATGCTGACTGTGTCGGTGGGGGGAGTTGAAGTGCAGCACCCCGTGTGGATAGCGGATGTACAGGACCCGTGTATTCTGGGTTTGGACTTTTTGAAGGCGTCTAGCTGCCTCCTGGATCTTCAAGCATGCACAGTGAGTTTCCAGGGGGGGCCGGTGATTACTATGACCCGTATCCACAACCCTGCTGAGCCGGCGGGGAGACCCTCTACACCCACCGTGAGTACCCTAGGAACTGAAGAAAATCCTCCCTCCTTTCCCGTATCCCCGGTGACGCCCGCTCAGGACAATTCCCCATCTGTCACCCCCGGACTGTGCCACCCGATCACAGCCCCACCCCAGTTACCCCAGACGGAGGTGGAAGAGGCTCAGTCTGCAGTATTGGAGGTGTGGAGGAAGAACTGTGGCGGCCTGAATCCCGAGCAGCAAGAGCAATTGGGGCAGTTTCTGCTAGAGTTCCAGGGCAGTTTCGCCATGAAGGAGGAGGAGGTGGGCCGAACACATCTGGTAGAACACGAGATTGATACAGGGGACTCGCGTCCCATCAGGTGTCGCCCGCGCCGACTTCCCCTTGCTCGTCAGCAGGCTTGCGACGAGGCAGTGCAGAGCATGCTGCAGGCAGACATCATCGAGCCCTCCGACAGCCCAGGGTCAGCACCTGTAGTCATGGTCCCGAAGAAGACAGGTGGCTGGCGGCTGTGCTCAGACTACAGACCGGTGAACGGGGTCACCAAGAAGGATTCATACCCCCTTCCCCGCATTGATGAGTCCCTGGACCTGGTCGCAGGGTCGTCGTGGTTCTCTTCCTTGGACCTCCGCAGCGGGTATTACCAAGTTCCTCTTGCCCCAGAGGCCAGACCATAAACGGCTTTCTGCACCGGCCGGGGACTATGGCAGTTCAAGGTCCTCAGTTTTGGGCTGTGTAATGCCCCGGCCACCTTTGTGCGGTTGATGGACAGGGTGCTGTCTGGGATTCCCCGCCAACAGTGTTTGGTTTACCTGGACGACATCCTGGTGCATGGCAGCTCGTTTGAGGCGGCGCTGGGATCTCTAAGAGTGGTGCTGGAGAGAATCAGAGCCGCTGGTTTGAAGCTACATCCAGATAAGTGTCATTTCCTGCAGAGAGAGGTCACTTTCCTGGGCCACAAAGTGGGGGGTGAGGGCATCGGCACCCTGCATGAGAAAGTGCAGGCGGTCGCAGGCTGGCCAAATCCTCGCAACCAGAAACAGCTGAAGAGTTTCCTGGGCCTGGCCTCGTACTACAGAAAGTTTGTACGGGGTTTTGCTTGCACTGCCGCAACCCTGTTCCAGCTGCTGCAGAAGGACAGGGATTTCCTGTGGTCTGAGCAATGTCAAGCAGCGTTTGACAGCCTTCGGCGTGCCTTGAGTGAATCCCCGGTTCTCGCCCCAGCCAACCCCAGGCTGCCGTTCACCCTGGACACAGACGCTAGCGGCATTAGTGTAGGCGGAGTGCTCTCCCAGACTACACCAGAGGGGGAGCGGGTGGTGGCATACTTCAGCCGGGCGTTCAACAAAGCAGAGCGACGATACTGCGTCAACCGCAGGGAACTTTTGGCAGTGGTGCTGGGCATCAGACACTTTAAGTACTACCTGTGTGGGCAGGCGTTCACGGTGAGGACTGATCACTCTGCATTACAGTGGCTCATGACGTTCAAAGAGCCAGAAGGGCAGGTCGCCAGGTGGCTAGAAGAGCTCCAAGCTTTCGACTTCAGGGTGGAGCACCGGGCTGGGGTGCGCCACACAAATGCAGACGCTCTCTCCCGCCGCCCGTGTGCCGCCGGCGGATGCCACTACTGCGAGAAGAGAGAGACTCGTGAAAAGGAGCTGCTGGAGGAGGACATCGTCTGTGCGGCAGCGCGGCAAGTGGAAGAGGTTATCTGCCGGGAGCTCCAGACAGTGGACGTGGCAGAGTGGAAGCAACAGAAAGAGCTGGACGCCGTTCTACAGCCTGTACTGCAGTGGGTTGAGTCGCAGCAGCGGCCACCGTGGGAGGAAGTGGCAGTGCTCTCCAAAGCAACCAAGGGGCTGTGGTCTCAGTTTGAGACTCTACGTCTGTGTCAGGGCGTACTACAGCGGGCGTGGAAGGAGCCAGCAACGGGGGAGAAGAGGTGGCAGGTGGTGGTCCCGAGGGGTCTGCAAGAGGTCGTACTCAAGGCCATGCATGGAACGGCAGGCTCTGGGCACTTTGGTGTCACTAAGACTCTCCGGCGCCTTCGACAGGGCTGCTACTGGGGGCAGTGCCGGAGGGATGTCGAAGACTTCTGTCGCCGCTGTGATCCGTGTATGGCTCGGAAGGGCCCCCCTGGTCGTTCCCATGCTCCGCTGCAACAGTTTCCCGTGGGGGCCCCGATGGAGAGAGTAGCGGTTGATGTGGTGGGGCCTCTACCTTTGTCAAACAGGGGTAACCGCTACGTTCTCACGGCCATAGACTATTTCACAAAATGGCCAGAGGCGTATGCTCTCCCTGATCAAGAAGCAGAGACAGTCGCAGATGCCTTGGTGACCGGCATGTTCAGCCGGTTCGGAGTGCCGGAGACCCTGCACAGTGACCAGGGGAGACATTTCGAGTCCCGGGTGTTCGCCTCCATGTGCTCACAACTGGGCATGCACAAAACACGCACCTCCCCCTTGCGACCTCAGAGCGACGGACTAGTCGAGAGATTTCATCGCACCATGGGACAGCAGCTGGCCATCCTCACGTCTCAGCATCAGCGCGACTGGGACGAGCATCTGCCCCTTGTGCTCATGGCATGTCGTTCTGCAGTCCAGGAGTCCTCAGCCTGTTCTCCTGCCCTCCTCATGTTGGGGAGAGAGCTTCGAACCCCTGCTGTTTTGGCGTTTGGTCAGCCGCCAGATTCCCTGGACACCCCTCCAGGGCCTGAGTACGCCAGGAGACTTCAGGACCGCCTTGATTCCGCTCACGCCTTTGCCCGCGATCAGCAGAAAAGTGCTGGGGTGAGACAGAAGCGGAACTATGACACCAGGACAAGAGGGCAGCATTTCCGGGCCGGGGAGCTGGTTTGGGTCTACAGCCCACAACGGAAGAAAGGCCGGTGCCCAAAACTGGACAGTCAGTGGGTTGGCCCCTGCAGAGTACTGGAGAGGGTGGGGGAAGTGGTCTACAGGGTGCAGCTGCCACCAAAGGGGAGAAAAGTTGTGCTCCACAGAGACAGGTTGGCTCTGTACAGAGGAGTCGCTTCTCCACAGGCCCAAGGAACATCGGGGCCCACAGCCGTCCCCTCGACACCCCCACTCAGGTCCCCCGGCGAGCAGAGCAGCAGTCCCCCATCAGGGACTGAGTGTCCCCCCATTTTTTCGTCGCCTGGACCAGAACCGGCAACCCCTGTCCTCCTGACCCCAGTCCCGCTGCCGAGAAGGCAGTCACGACCCCCGGGTCGTTTCAGAGACTTTGTTTGGTAGTAAAGTTATAGTGAGACCCCTCGGTTCCTGTAGAGGGCAAGAATGCGCCCTGGTCTCACTGGAAGGGATGGTAGTCCACCCAGACCTTCCTAGTCAAAGTACAGTGTGTAGTTATAGTGTTGGTGCTGGGTTTTATTTGTTCCTCGTGGGCGAGGAATTTTGTAGTGGGGGGGCAGTGTAGCGACCCTGTATAGGATGCTGAGGGTGTCACTCAGGCATCCCCCGTCTCTCTGCCAATCATAGAGCTGCACAGTGATGCTGGTTGAGGTGCGGGCCTGTGGTTGGGGGAGCAGACGGGGGAGGGCGGGAAGTTGTGACGTAGACACTGTTATATATATGGGTATGTGTAGGAGTTAGTGTTAGTGGAGGTTGAACCCACAAGCTGTTCCTGAACCTGTGATCATCTGTAAAGAAGAAGAGTTATTAAAGCCTAATAACTAGCAGCCTGTTTCCGACTCCCTTTGTGATCGTTACAATACTATAGAATATGAATAAATCGTCACCGATGTAGAGGATATATTTTTGTATTCACTTTGAACTCGGCCAAATGGAGTTTAATGCTTTGGGATTTAAGTTAGGCCACATAGTACGTGCATGGGTTTGGAAGTATAACGTGCTAGCCTGCTGTAATACATCGTATAGTCAGGCACACATTTATGAGAGATTTAACAATGGCCAATTATATTTCTTAAATAATATGTAGCCTATTCCCAGAGCATAATTCATGGGGCAACAAGGTGAGGTGTAAAATGTGTTTTAATATCATAAATGTTATGCCAGCAAACTTCTTGTACGGACTTCGGCAGTAGTGAAGACTCACTGAACGAATTAAGTACAAAGACGAATCGTTCGTGAACGTGCAAATCACCAGGAGTGCACCAGCTGGGCGTAAAAAAGTAGGGCTTAACTCTAACGTCGGGCTTAGCTACGTCCGACGTAGTGATTCGAATTTACACCGAGTGCACCAAGCCTGACTAGTCTCGGGCGTAGCTGCGCCTGGTCTTAAGATGCGCGTCCACGTGAATACACGCGAAACAGTCATTGTTGCCAAGCAACGCCATTTTACAGACTCAGAGGACCGCAGAGAAGAGGGAATTCCCACACCCACAGCGTCATCGATGACTCAAGGGGAATCCCAAATGGCCACACCCCGAAAGAGAAAGAGGGATTTGTCAGAGCTACAGCGGGAACTGACGGAGAAAGAAATTGTTCGTGTGGAGGTGGAGACCGTCAAATTGAGAGCGGAACACGAACAAATTGAGCTGGAGAAGGAGAAATTGAGACTCTTCTTAATGCCCTTTCATTGTTAAACATGTAAACAAGACGCCCTGTCATTGTTAATATCCTTCTTGCCTGTTTTACGTTACTATGGATACTAGTCTGTCTTTCCGATTTACGCCTGCTCCATACTAGGCGTAAAAGTTACACCCGGGCGCAACGCATACAGGGCTTAAGTCTAAGTGGTGCACTAGTCATAACTTTAGTTTGGTCTTAACCTTCGGTTCTACGTCGGACGTAGAGTTACGCCCAGTTTACTCCCAGCTGGTGCACTCCCCTCCAGAAGTCATTCGCGAACCGGTGAACGAATCAGTGAAAGAATCTTTCAAGTGAACTGAATCAAAAGATTTGTGTCCCCGAAGGGAATCGGAATTCCCATCACTATTGTAGCCTCTATGGTTGTAGCCTAGCAGAGTGGACAAGTTGCTGTTAGCTGACAGTGAGGCATGTACATGTCCATCAAAGTGACCACGCCCTAATTTATGCAAAAGCTTTAAGGCTTAATATTAATTAAACAGATGAGTTGAGAAAAAATTCACCCCCCACACAGTAGTCATGAAGGGGGAATCTAACTCTACAGAGAATATGGTTTTTTGAACCACGATGTAAACATGTTTATTTCTGCTGTAAAGTTGGGCATTTTAACATGGGGGTTTATGGAAATTGCTCCCTTCTGCAGCCTGTCCTACTGGCCACTAGATGAACTGCAGTGTGTGGCACTTCCGTATTGGCGTCCCGGCTCTTCCCCAGAGTTTGCCGCTTGGTGTGAACGCAACATTTCGGAACTATATCGGAACTAAAGTGGGAAAAGTACTGCGGTGTGAACGCGCCTAATATGCCTGCGCTGCACCTCCAAGGTGCGCAATCTATGCCTGTGAGCGTGCTGCGCGAGCCGAGATGATGTGTGTGTGCGTAGTTGAACCTTTTCATATTTCAGTTTGTAGCAAGAAGAGGGCTGCTGCTGTGTGTGTGTGTGTGTGTGTGTGTGTGTGTGTGTGTGTGTGTGTGTGTGTGTGTGTGTGTGTGTGTGTGTGTGTGTGTGTGTGTGTGTGTGTGTGTGTGTGTGTGTGTGTGTGTGTGCGTGCGTGTGTGCGTGTGCACGCATTAGTTTTAAAGACCCCCATAGAGCTCAGTGTATAACTCGAACCCTGGATATATATATATATATATATATATATATATACAAGGTTTTCCAGCCCTCCAGTCATACAGGAGTCTCAGAACATCCACAGGGAGCCTTGTTCTTCGGCTCAGGGTAGGGAAATCAGAATACTTTAGGTTTCCAAGGGGATTTGAATTTTGTGACAGCTGCTCCATTTTTAGAATAAAATTAAAGTAAACAAATATATATATACACATATATTTTTTATAAACATGAAGTTAAAGTAAAAATGCACAATAAAAAAATAAGATACAAATATTGAAAAAGCACAAAAGTAAGGTCCAATAAAAGATCAGATACAA